ACTTGGTGTGGAAAAGAGAGCAGTGCATTTAGAAGCCTATTTAGGAGGAATGCAGATAAGTGGCAACTACTTCTGCACAGCAGTCTCTGGATTATCTCACATGCTCTAAACATTCGAGTACTCACTCCCCTACAACGGCAGGGGGTAACAAACAGCTCATTAATAGTTCCGAGTAAGGACACACACTCTTAAGTCACTGGTATCTCAGCTACGAGTCACAGGCAGTGGTTATATTGGTGGTCTAATGTGCATGTGGGGAAAAGTAATTTCCTTCTGTTTCTTCTCTTGTTATTATTGACAGCTCTGATGACTCGCATAGGATTTTAAAACAAATGCTAAACATGAGATGAATGTTCAAAACTTGGGGATGTAAAAAACCCCCACCTTATATATAAGGGTCTCTTATATTCCTGAGATTTGGACACCTGCTTTCTCTTTGAAAAATGAAATTCTTATTTATATTAGTATAACGTAAGAGTCGAGGCTTTCAAAAAAAAATGGCCAGCTTTCAGACTTAAGGGATGATCAGCAATCACAAAAGTTACTTTTCACCAGGTCAGATCTCACACACCACTGAGACCGCTCATTCGTTTAGCCCTTGTCTCAGACCCTTTCTCACAGCACCACCAGTGTCCCTGACCCAGATGCTCTGCTCAACCAGCCATGCCACCGGCAAAGGGCTGCACTGCAGCCAGCGTCTCCTACCAGGAGGCTCCTCTGCTTAAATGAACTAGCTGGAAAGCAAATCTTCTCTGTACTTCTCACTTTGTGTCACATAAAATGTGGCAAGAAAAAATAACTACAATGCAGAAGGCAGCTCCAGGTTAACCCAGGCAATCATCTCTCTCTCCAAGTATCATCTTCCTACCCTGAAATACTGAGAGAAATATGTTGCCTGTCATTTTTATTTTAAGGGTTAAAGAACACCCTGACATTCCTTCAGAAAACATTATGCTCCTAAGATTAACCGTAATGAAAAGACTATGTATAAGCAAGCAGTGTACACAGAAGAACATACCAATTCCGTGCAAGACAACGGCCTCCCTATGCTCTTCAGTGAGTGTTAAGACAGCAGAGAGGGAGCAGTGAAAGCTCACTAAATGAAACAAACATGAAACAAATGGCAGCATAGAACATGAGCTTGGATAAGGTGTTCTTATAAATAATTGAACTTACAGCTGTTAGAATAAACAAATATGGTATATTTCATATGCAGTATTGCTGCCTTCAAAAAAAAAATATGGTGCATGTTTGTTTCCTTCCTAATGGGAAAAACTTAAGTTATCTAGGCCACATGTGCCAGTTTTGGTGCAATTTAAGAGGAATGTGCCACTCTGAACACTAAAAGTCATATAGGAAATGTAAACTAGGAGATGTGGTTTTAAGAACTGAGAGATGCTTTTGAACTAAGTCACCTTACAGTCATGGACTTCAGAGTAAACAGTTTAGCTGCAACCTGAGTTAACTCAGTTCAAGGTCACCACTTTTGGAGCAGGGGGCAGAAAAGGATCTCCTAGGTCATCAGGCCTACTCCCATGCTATTGCAGGCAACTGTGTCATACAATCCTGTACAAGAACATTTCACGTTCCAGCTTAAAACTGGTAAGGTTTCCTGCCTCCACTGCTCCTCCTGCAAGCCTGCTCCAGAGCTCATTCCTCTTATGGCTTGAATGCTGTTTCTGATTTGCAACCTAAATTTAATTCATGAGCAGCTACGGCTAAATTGTTTTGCACCAACACAATTTTTCTGTTTAAACAGCTCTTTCTCCTTGAGCTCACCCTCATCCATGCATTTTTAGAAAGCGATTGCACCTCTGGGTCTTCATTTTGCAAGCCTGTAAACAACCATTTCCAAAGCAATTGGTCTGTGTGTTGTCACCCATCTCATTAAAATCTGGCAAATAGTGGAAGATTTTAAATAGTTGGCAGTCCAAAGTCTAAACTCTGCTTAATGTCACAGAACCAGAGAGCAAAGCCTACAGCCGACATGCCCAACAGCTGAAAAGCAAAGTTTAAAGGTAAATCAGCTTTTTTGGTCCATTTTAGTTCTAGCCTGTCTACTAAAAACAATTCTACAGTCCATGCTAGTTCAGATAGTGATTTGATGTCTACAGGGACCCTGCTGCAAAGAAACAGAAAGGAATAATTTCACATCAGCCACTGAAACTTCATTAAGTGACAATTATACTTGCAGGGTTGTGGGGATGAAAGGTGGCTCCTGCTTGAGTCATCAACCTCCTGTTCTGCTACAAACACAGGGCTTGGAAAACAGCCGTCCAGAGGGTTGTTGGGCACAGAGCAGAAGAGTAACTTGACTTGCAGGGCATCACCGGTTCCCTCTGGGTAAATTAACTGTTTTGATCAGTAGCCTTACAATCAAAAACGTTTCTTCTCATGACAATAGATTTTAAATACACTGTAACTGGGCTTTGACTTCCTCTTGAGTCTGTCACAACTGCCCTGTTTTTTGTATTAGATGGCTGAGGTCATGGTGACAGTAGCAGTGGCCCATGTATCATTCATGTCCGCTAAAGAAACACACGCCTTTGCGACACACCCATACACCTAAGAAGCTCAGATGAACATTTTAAAACTTCAGAAAGAAGAAACAAAAATTTCTAGGGTATTTTAAATAAAATATTGTGTTAGCAATTGTATCTTAGCAGGAGACACAAGGCACAGCATTTGAGAGCAGCAGAAACTGAAGTTTCTACTTAGTGCTGAAGTTTCTGCTCAGATTTATCTGTGATGTGTATGCTAACACCTCATAGATGGAAGCACTTTACAAACAAGGTGATGTACATCCTATACAAGGGAGCTCGCAGGCTGCCAGCTCCAGAGGGAAAGCTGTAAATGATTTAATACCACACTGCAACCTAGGATCTTTCAGGACACTTAACTGAGACTCATACAGGAATCTGGGCAGTGAGCATGCAAGTACTGAAACCGGGATTACAGTTAAGGAGTAATTAATTTAATGACTTTTTGCAAAAGGGAAATCTTTCAGACAATCTGCAGTGACCGGACCCAGCCAAGAGGATGCTGGTTTTATAGGTCAGCTGGAAGAAACAGAAGATTCACTGAGTTCAAGCTGTCCTGAGACTACTTGCAAGACCCGTGCAGCCGGGGTGCTCTATGTACTGCACTTAACTCTTTGTATACCTCTGATATGGGGCCACTTGTGCTTCTGCAGAACAATTGCTGTAAATAAACAGACCCAAATTCCAGAAGCCCTAATTATGTATAACAATGGATCCATTCAGCTGACCGAAGGATTGAGGGACACAAACACTACATTGCATTTACTACAGTGAATGGCATTCTATAAATACGATCAATTAGATCATCTAAACAACATCCAGCAGCTTCTCTTGCATGATTTTGTATAACAAAGACTACAAAAGCTGTCTTCACCTCTGTCACACACTCTCAAACAGTGAAGTGGTAAATAAGAGTAAGCTGCACTAAGTAGAAATACTAATTAGAGACTGACTAGTGTCACAGAGTTCAAATCCAGATTACAAACATTTTAGAAAAATGAGAGTAGAGGCAAGATTTAGATGCATCTCTGACATATAAACCAGATACTTTAATGCTACAGACTACTTTATACCATCCCAGACACATCCCAAGATGCCTAGTTGTGTAAGGCAGAGGAATTGCACAGGCATTGATGAGTGCTCGCTGTGGCAACCACACCAAACATTACTTTTTAATTACGACCTCTGCTAGCACTAGCTGTTTCGAAGCTCTAAGCAACAACTAGCACTTTTCAAGCTATATAGGTGATATTCCTATTTTACACAGAGATGGACGATTCAGGCCTCTATTTTAGGCAACATCTGAAATCAGCTGAGTTGGCAGTGTAAAAAGGTGCATGTATCAGTCTTAGAGGTTGCTTTTTATATTTTCAGAATAAGGAAACCAGTCTGAGAGTTGGTCTCATTTACACACAACTGCAGCGACCTCCAGGGAACTACATATAGCTAAGTCTAGCCAAGGCATATGGGGAGCCAGGCATACAATACTTCCAACACACCTTTGACAAGCCTAAGGTTGCAAGCTGAAATTAGACAGGGTCATTCTCCTTAGCCTTTGCCAACCTGGAAGCATTGCTACTCTAGAAAATGTGCCAGGGAACTGATTCATTTACCTGAATATCAGGTACAAAAAGGTCCCAGCAAAACCCAGAAGGCTGCTCAATGTCACACATCCAAGGCCAGGCAGCAAAGCCGTGCCTGCTGTGGAATTCAGGCTGGAGCGTGGGCTTGCTAGCCCTGCTGGTCTGTGCTGCCTCTAAAGTCACCTACATGCTGGAATGAAGGACACAGTGACTGCTCCTCTACTTGGTACTGAAAATACTCTGAGAAAACCAAACTGCTGGGTTAAGCAACAGTCTGATATTCCAAGTGTCTCCAGAAATAGCAGAAAGTCACATTCCAGAAGCTAGTCCTCATCTTCATTTCCCTCTGACTCCTCTAGCCTCAGGTGACCAAATTCACATATTGCTAAGAACTCCACATCCATTCTCATAACTTTCATTGTAGCAACAGCCTCAGAATTAGCATTCAGGAATGCTTTAAATCTCTCCTTCCTAAAAATAGTCAGGAGAAAGATCCAGTCATTAGGGTAAGAAGGCAAGGACCTACCCATTTCCCTTAATGAGGACACAATCCCATGTAATGACTACCTTGATACCACCTCTCTTTTCAAGCAGCAACTGGAAATACCTATCCAAATGAAAGAAGCAATCTGAAAACCAGCATGTACTGCCCCAACAGACCTACCCACTCAGTGCACATTAGCATACGTCAGTGCCATTTAAAGTCCTAGGAGCTCTGCTTGCAGCAGTTCTAGCAGGGCTAGCTTTGACTAACTGTGACTAAAAAAAAGCACACTGGTGTCCTTACCTTGATTCAGGCTTTTCAGTTAATGGTGCCATTTTCTTAGTCCGTTGATTTCACTCCATAAGAGGCACGAAATAGTTAAGGAAACCTTTCACTGTGTTGCCCAGTCACTTGGCTGCTGAAGTGTAACAAGAAATTTGTGGAGGCATCTCTCTCTCTCTCTGGCACCCTTAAATACTTTGCTCCTCCTACTGCTGTGCTTTAATTAGCCAGTTAGTTCTTAGTCACCCCATCCTGTCATTAGGCTTGCTCACCATTAGCCACCCCCACCCAGCCTGTCTGTCACTCCCCTGCCACTGTCATCACAAAAGGCACCGACTCTTCCTGCAGCTCCAGAGCTGGGGAAAGGGACGAGAGAAAGCTCGGAGGTGACACTCCATGGTAGCATGGGTATGTGAGGCACTTCAGAAGAGAAGTGACAGCCTGACCTTGAAGAAAAGTTAAAGTACTTGAAAAAGCACCTTTTTTCCCCCCTTTCCCCCCCCAAACCAGGCAGCATCTGCTTGTCAAGGAAGGAATACTTGCATTAGCACTGGACATGGCAGATCCTATTTCAATGGGTAGGACCTGAATGGGCAGCTAAAGTTTCTGCACTTGGCAGCTGAGATTTGTAGCCTAAATACCTGAGATGCACAAAAGGAAAATAACTGCTTGCGTGGCTGTTACATACTATATGCCCACTCTGTGGGCATCATAACAGGCATCAAAGAAACCTTTAAGCCACTCCACAGCACAGTGCAGCCTAATACCTCTTTAGACAGCCTAAGATTCACATGGGAGCGGAAGTGGTGTCAGCTTTTAGGAGAATGAGGGTATAATCACACCTCCCCCGACCTGGACAGCCTGTTGGTAAGAAAGGTGAGTAGTGGCACAGGATCACCCTTGGTGAATGCCTATGGAACTAACAACAGGGATCATGGCTTCCTGAAATCAGACCTTGGAGGTTGGTTCATGCAAGACCAAATGGTAGCTTAATAGTGGAAATAATGTGAAGGAGACCCCCAAGCGTGTCGGTACTATCCTTTGTCACCAGACCACAGCAACCAGCACACCAAGCACTGCTGGCCTTCGTGACTGACAGTCCAGAGTGTCTCTGTCTGCAGCCTGTCTCTGGATTTTGATTCCTCAAATATGCACATACGGGCATTGATCTGCTGCCAAACTTCCAGATTGAAAAAATGTACTGAAAATTATTGCAAGGCAACCATCTCAGCATTCAAACAAGACCTAGAAAGCAACACATATGGCAAGAGTTGCTGATTGCCGAGGGCGTAGAGCAACAGTTACAGTGTGGGTCAAGACATACTCTGACTTTGGACTCTTTCAGTAAAATGTTAGTGAAGGACACAGAACAAAGGTCTCCAAATATCTACTTATGCAAAGTCATACTGATGCACTGTGAAATACTGACTGAGATTCTGTCAGCAACACAGTTCTCCCTTTTCATCCCCAATACACCTTTCAGCATCCCAATATTTATCTCCCACCAAATGAAGCATTTGATTTTTAGCCAGTATAGGCACAATTCTGATGGCATATTGGCTAAGAGGCCAGAAGAGAATGGAAAATGCTGCTCTATCTTACTTCATTTAAGACCAGTCTCATACCTCAGTGTGAACATGCCACTGGTCGTTCTAATTAGAGTAAACAAAGTGGCCCCATGCTCACATTTACTACCATGTCACAAAAGACTAATGCTGGGGAGCTTGTACCTGGGGTTTTTGTTTCATTTACCCCAGTAGAAATCAGAAGCTATTTGTAAAATTCAGGTCTGGATCTAGGTTTAGACTCCAGACCCTTTAGAAGTCAGGTGTATTTGGTTTGGGTGGAGGAAGAAGAGGGTTATCTCAGACATATCATTAGTCAGAATAAAGGATGATTGAAAACTATGTTTTGAATGGTCAGACCCTTCTGTCCTCTCTGAAAAAAACCCAGAAAACAAAAAAAAGAAACCAAACCACCCCAAATAAAAACCAACCCAAAACCCAGTTCCCTCCCCGCCAAACTCAAACCCCATATTGTTCTCAAAAACAAACCAGGAAAGCCAACAAAAAAAAGCCAACCACAGTGTCCAAAGTAAGCTGTGCAGTCATCACGAGCTCCACTTACTTGAAACATATTTGTTTATACAACAGTACACAACAGGAGACCTCCCTTACCACCTGAAGATAACCTCCTTGATCTCCCTCAAGTCTGTTGTGGAGCCTGGACCACATGAGAGCATGTCAGTTGAAAGCCCTACCTGCTGTGTAGCAAGGGTTTATAAACAAGCCTCTGATAGTTTGTCTTCAGTTATTAAAAATGACCATTATTACAATGTTGAAAGAGTAAAAACCATACTGTGAAAATAACAGTTTGAGAAGGAAAGAATAGCAGTTCGGGACAGGCAAAGTACGGAAGGATCCAGGGGCTGGCTTAGGTCCAAACTTAAATAGGAAAGTTCAGGTCAAATATTGGGTCTGAAATACTTCTGGTCTTTGCAGGAACCAGCTTAGACAACGCTCAAACAGCTTGGCAAGGAGGGAGGAGTGTCTGCTACAGACAACCACTTAGATGGAAAAAAGAATTTTCACAGAATTTGCTATTCCATCTGGGTGACTGGAGAACTGGGCAGCAAGCTTTGCATGGCTGCATGGCCACATAGCTTGGTTGTTTCCAAAGTCAACCTTGAGTGCAAGACAAAAAGCTTTATTAAGTGTTGCTGTTTTATCATCAACCCACAGTCAGTGTGCCATGCATTACAGTTTTCCTGGCACCTACTGCAGCACAATCACTGCTGTATTTTTCCCCCATAATATCCATGTCTTTGCAAAAGACACCATCACCAACTAACAGCTGAAGGAAATAGCAAAAGGGACAAAACAATTTGCACAACAAAGGAAGTCTTTGGCATAACAGAGGCAGATGCCAGTTCTAGGATGTTCTGGACCACTGCTCTAGTAGCCACTGGACAAGCCTACTCTCATCATACCTGTTTTGCTAACAAAGTCATAAACAAATCTTTTCACTGTAGGGAGCGGACTGTTCCAGTTATAAGCTACCCTGGAAAGTTCGCTGCACAATCCGTACAGTTTTTGTGTTTTAATAAGTATCACACAGCCATACTACTTCTTCTATGCCACCCCAATATATCATGGGATGAGGCTTTTCAGCCACCAAAAGAGGTCAAAGAGGTCCTGCGACATGCAGTTTAGAAAAGGAGGTACTTTTGACAGATCTGGGGGATGGCTAAGCAAAAGTGATTGAGCTTACTTGGTTTGGCAGATGGAGGAGGAAGGCAAGCAAACTTACATCATGCTCATGCTTTTAGTTCAGTTCCCTCTGAGTTCTGTGGTTTGAATTGCAAAACAAAAATCAGCCAAAATAACATGCTGCTGATTGAGTTCCACCCAGTACCGTGAATGAGCACAAACTCATTCACCCAGCACCTTCACCTCGCTGGGCTGGAGCTTCTGCTTTGTTACAAAACAGCCACCCAGGTTCTGGTTAGGATAGTTTTACAGCACCCTCCCTACTATCAGAGATGAGCCCCAGCTTGCCCCAAACCTCCCAACACCCTGATTCCCCTGGATGCCTCAGACCTGAGCCTGAACTCTGCAGCTCAGTGCTCCCCAGCTGAAAGCTACGGGAACCAGTGCCACCACAGAATTCAATACTGCTGCCAGCAGCCCCTACAGCCTGCCAGGCAGCTGAGTGCAACTGCACAAGGTCTCAGCTGAATCTGCATGGCATAAAGGGGTTCAGACTGCCACCAGAGACTGAGCAAAACTCCTTTTAAAGATTTATACAGGCCTTTTAAGAGCTCTTGATAGTAACTTAATCTGCCAGTAGAAGCAAGTCTGCAGGACAGAAGTAGTTAAGGGCTAGAAAGAGGCCCTTATAACAATGTGTGTATTAATCCAGTGAAAGTATATAACCTGCTAAGCATACGGAGAGAACAGCACAGGCTACAAGACAAACTGCAAGAAAATTTTCTCAAATGGCTGAGAAAACCAAATGCATAATTTGGCTTCTTTGCTGAAACTGAAGAACTGTCTTAGCATCCCTTCTGGCTGCTGGGAGATGAGTGATACGCTGTCAGCTAGTGATCCCTCATTTAAAACAGAAAAAAACACTACCCGTTAGGATCACAGTTCACCAGGATTAGAGGAGACTTTGGAGAGGAGCATGGCTCCTGTTGCTGTCTTCTATTAACTGGAGAACTCAGCAGG